ACCCCTAAATGCATTGAAGCAACTGCCATGTGATTGGTTGATTAGATAATTGCATTAATGAGAAATTGAACAGGTGTTCCTAATAATCCTATAGGTGAGTGTATATATATTATTATTATTATTATTATTATTATTTTTTGTGTGTCAGCCCCCTTCTGTCTGCCTGGTCGATCATTTCTAGCCGCAATTTAGGTGCTTCCTCAAATCTTGTTGCCTAAATGACTTACAGTATGTCACACTAATACTACTAAAAAATTTCACTATAACAAAACGATCCGTTTAAGAAAAACGTAAACTATATATGTCTGGTGTTTTTTGATTCAGTTTGATAATCAACCTCTAAAGGCCACTTCTTTAAATTTCTTAGCAAAATAGCGAAAGAACAGTTACTGATAAACTGTTTTATTCCTTGTTTGAATCATCAGTGGCTATGCCCCGCTCATTTTCAAAGAGAGTGACATGTCGCCTCTTGACTAAACTTTTGTAAAGCACGTGTAAAGCTACCCTTAAAGCACTTTGAATAAAATGTTTCATAGCGTGTTTTATACTTATTTTAAAATAACACATTACCAAAAAAAAAAGGTAAAATAACAAAAATATATACTAAATTCTTGACTGTCCCCCGTACCTCCCCATCAACCCATCCTTGACCCGTGCTAAAACTTCACACTTCTGCATGCCTGGGTGCCTTGTAACAGCTACAGTGTGAATCAGTATCCTGTATTGTGTTGTAAAACAAAACTAGCCCATATAATTTCACCATAAAACATGATGACAGTGTTTTTACCATTAGAAAATGCATTATTTAAAATAGCACGTTGACAAGCACAACTAATGTTTTTTAACCCTTAAATTAAGATAACTAAGGCATTATTCTACCAAAGTTTTAAAAATGTTTCGATGTATGTTGATATATACCGCTGACTAGTTCCTACCGTTCTTGTTGCCTAATTGATTTATATCACACTCATCCTAATTTAAAATTTCCCTATGACAAAACAATCTTTATGCAATTTTAAGAAAAGCGTTAACTATATTTGTCTGGTGTTTTTTTATAAGGCGCGTGAAGTTGTGGCTGTTAGGGGCCCTGTAATACCCATTTTGTTAGGGCGCGCCTACTGTCTGCTAGAGAAAATTACAACTGTTTTGCTGGCCTACCCTTGAGTGCGTGCTTGTGTGTGTACCCGTGGCTTTGCGGCGCGTGTGGGGTGTTCGCCTTACTTCTGTACAGTGATGGGCAGTAACTAGATTACTAGATTACTTTTTAAGTAACGGAGTAATCTAACGGCGTTACATTTTATAAGGCAGTAATCAGATTATAGTTACGACCCAACTAACGTGTCGTTACTATTGTGTTGCATTGAAGACGTTAGATTAGCCAGTTTTATGCAAAAATAATAATAATGAAATACAGTTGCAAAAATCATCAAGCAACCGCGCGCGGCGCTACGTAACGTCATCAATCCAAGACGCAGCCACACAAACACTGCAGCATGGAGAGACCACCGGAGGGAGAAAAGGGCGCTTTTTACTCGTGGAAATACAAACATATTTTAAATTTGTTGAAACAAAGGGCAAAACATAGCTGTACAGTGTGTCTTATGTGCGGGAGACAAAAGATTTTCTACCGCTTAGAGTTCGACTTCAAATCTATCGGATTCATCTTTTCCTGCAACTAAACAGCTCAGACTAGACTTTTTCAAGTCAACTGGTGAGTGGGGAAAACTTGAAAAAACTTACATAGTCGAGGAAATGCTTCCCATGTCCACAGTGGACTCGCCGTCTTTTTGCGGTTTAATCGACAAAATTAAATACCCACACGGAATAATGCACGGCTG